GCCAGGGAAGGAAGCATATCAGACCCCCCCAGAGGAGCTGACTGGGAAGGTCAGACCCCTGATATCCCGAAGATTCTCACCAGAGCCGGAGCCTCTCTGAGACGTAAAGAGCAAGCCATCCAGTTAAAACTGCCTTCCCAGAGCTGACCCGGGCCGGGGCCGTCCCCAGGGTGGTTGGAACCCCCATGGCCTCTTTTATTTTCCTCTCGCGGGCATCATTCTTGGCCAACACATACGTTATGGGGACAGTGGGGGGATTCCCCCAAACCGTGCTGCTCTTCCGTTCAGAAACATGTGCCTGGAGGTCCGCCGCTGCTTGACTCACGCTCTGTTGAGGTGGCAAGGAAATGCACACCTGCTCAGTGGCGGAAGGACCTGACCCAAAGGAGAGAGGACCCCCGGTGGGGGGTCAGGCTTAGTAAACAAAGATACACAGGATGCTCCCTTCAACCTGATTTTCAGATAAACAACAACATTTGGTACGCACACACACACACACACACACACACAATGGTTGTTTATCTGAAATTCAAATTTAACAGGGCATCCTGTTTTGTTTCTGGCAACTCCAGACACAGCACCTGCGGCAAAGCCTTCCCCCAAGGTCCCCGCAGGGTGCCGTTGAGAGAGAGACACAACACAGCTGGGAGGGAGAAAAACACTGTCCTGGGATGAAAGCAAACCTGGGATTTTCAGTGGTCAGAGAAGGGTGGGAACGCTCTGCTTAAAGGGTTCCTCTGGAACAATCCCAGAATCTTTGCTCAACGTAGGGCAGAGTGCTGCGTTCAAATCCCGCCAAAAATGCACAGGTGCTCCCGGAGAAGACTCTCCTTGCTCTGAGCCTCAGTTTTCTCTTCTCTGTAATGGGGTGAGGCTTGGATGCTGTGATGGCTAAGGAGTTCCTGGCCCTTGGCTTTTCCACCCTAAGGGAAATCTGCTGGAAGCAAGGGAAGGTGCCAGCTGGCCAAGGAACACGTTTAAAGAAGAGGAAGACACTTGGAAAAGGGCGGCCTTCTTAGCCCACAGCCCCGGAAGGAGATTGGGGCATTGCAGCTGGACATTGGGTGCCTGGGGGCTCCTCCTGGGTCAGGCACACCCAGTCCCCACTGGACTTCCTTAGAAGGGGCCCTAGGGACAACCCCCCCCCCCCCCCCAGCTGCATCAACCGCTATGGTGCCCAGGACCAGCCAGCTTTTCAAACATCCATGGAAACATTGAACTACCGTGGGGCTGGTCACTAACTCCCAAATAAGCAGAGCTTATTATAAAGACGAAACGATTAAATGTCTACAAAGGGTTAACTAGACAATTGCAATTCGGCTTCTATAGCTTATGCAGATATGTGAACTCGGTATGTGGGTGCATCTGAATACATCTGGGGGATGTGGCCTTTGAGAGGAAGAATGCCCGGAGACTTAAAGCCCCACAAAGGGCAGTCTCTGGGATGTGGGGACCACGCATTCCCTCTAGACGGGCAGCCGTATTCCAGGATCTGATGGCCACGTGGGGTGAATGTTAGCAGCCAGAATCTCTGGGGATACAGGTGGTGGGCAGCTCTGGGGAGGCCCCCTCTGAAAGGACTGTCAGGGTCCCAAATGGTCCATGTAGAGGGGACTGGTGAGACTGTGCTGTGACCTCAGGGCCAGGCCGCAGCTGCACGTAGGGCTGCAAGCTTGACAGGGAACTAGCTGGAGGCCATCCCTCCAGCCAGGTCCGGGTGCCCCCGAGGCCGGCTGGGCGCTGGGATTCCTTCTCCGCCTCGGCCTGCTGGAAAGGCCAGGGTGCTATCTTGCGGCCAGACATGGTGGTACCTGAGGAGCTGGGTGAGCCCCAGGAACCGCCATCAGCTCTATACCTCGGAGCTACGACAGGGAGATAATAGTCTTTGCTGCAGACAAGGGGCATTGTCGACGTGTGTCTGTAGGAAACTTGGTGTACTGGCTTGCCATTGGTTTAAACACCAGAAATGAATTTTCTTATCATCTTGGAGGCTAGGAGCCTTAGAGCAAGGTTGTCTTCCCTCTGTGCCCATCTGTGTCCCCATCACATCTTCTTCTAAGGAAACCAGTCACATTGGATTGGGGCCCACCCATCTGACCTCAGTTTACCTCAATTACCTCCTTATTTACTTCTTTTAAAGTTTATTTATTTATTTTGAGAGAGAGAGAAAGAGAAAAAAAGCATAAGTGGAGGAAGGAGAGAGAGAATCCCAAGCAGGCTCTGTGCTGTCAGCACTGAACCCAGTGTGGGGCTCGATCCCCCAACCAAGAGATCATGACCTAAGCCGAAATCAGGAGTTGGATGCTTAACCGACTGAGCCAACCAGGTGCCCCTATTTATTTTTTTAAAGATTTTATTTTTAAGTAATCTCGACACCCAACATGGGAGTCAGACGCCCATCCCTGAGATCAAGAGTGGCATGCTCTACCAATTCAGCCAGGTGCCCCCAACACTTGGTGATTTTTAATAAATTACTTTTTAGGGGTACCTGGGTGGCTCAGTCGGTTGGGCGTCAGACTTTGGTTCAGGTCATGATCTCACCGTTCGTGGGTTTGAGCCCCGTGTTGGGCTCTGTGCTGACAGCTCAGAGCCTGGAGCCTGCTTCGGATTCTGTGTCTCCCTTTCTTTCTGCCCTCCCCCACTCGCATTCTATCTCTCTCTCAAAAATGAATATATGTTAAAAAATTATATAAAAAATAGATTACTTTTTAAAAATTAAAAAAAAAATTTTAAGTTTAGTTATTTTCAAAAGAGACAGAGAGAGTGAGGAGGGGAGAGGCAGAGAGCGAGGGAGATAGAGTCCCAAGCAAGCTCTGCACTGTCGGCACAGAGCCTGACATGGGGCTCAAACTCACAAACCGTGAGATCATAACCTGAGCTGAAACCAAGAGTCGGAAAGCTTAACCGACTGAGCCACCCAGACGCCCGAATGCTTGATGATTTTTAACCTACAACGGAAGTGAAAACAATGTGCTCCGGGTTGCTGACTTTGGAAATGCAGGTTGGAGACTCATCCCAAGATCACACTTCAGTGATGACCACCTCCCTCTAGACATTCTGGAGCCTCCTCTGCCTACCAGTTTTGATCAGGAGTAGTTTGAAGACAGCTTCTGGATGTGGTCCCCCACTGGCCAGCGGGCTGGGAGGGGGTCAATGTCATGACCAAATGCTGGGACTTCTCAGCAGGGTGGGCCGCTCTCTCTACCCAATGATGAAAGTCTGATGATCTTTACCCTTGAAGAACTGTCCTCTTTAAAAAACAAAGTTTCAAATTCTCTACCCAGTGCTGCTATTTATAGGATCATCCCATGAATCTTAAAAAAAAAAAAAAAAAAAAGGAGAGAGAGAGAGACAAACGTTTAGCCTTTGTATTTTTATAGAAGTAGCACCTGTTTGTTATTGAAAACACAGATGAAAAAGGAGAAAACAAAATTGAGTCAGACCTCCCAGAGATGATCACTGTTAACATTTCTCAATCTGTATCTATTCTCCATCTACGTTTATATGGTTAAATTTACTTGAAAGATAAGATTAAGTAGTACCATTTCATAACTTCTTATCGATGACTATATCACGATCCCTTCAGCGGGCACGGAATTGTTTTCTCTGGCACCATTTTCTTTTCTTCTTTTCCTTTTTTCTCTTCTCTTCTCTTCTCTTCTCTTCTCTTCTCTTCTCTTCTCTTCTCTTTTCTTTTGAGAGAGAGAGCATGCAAGCGGCAGAGAGGGGCAGTGGGAGAGAGAGAGAGAATCCCAAGCTGAGTGTGAAGGACCCCATGACCCTTGGATCATGACCCAGTGGAAACCAAAAGTTGGACACTCAATTTACTGAGCCACCCAGGAACCACCTCCTACCCCCAGCACGATTTAGGATGGTGGCACAGTATGAGAGTGGCATAAGCTATTCAACAAACTTCCTATTACTGAATACTTGGGTTATTTACCATTTGCATGTATTAAAGTTTATTTATTTATTTTTTCAAGCAATCTCTACACCCAACATGGGGCTTGAACTCACTACCCGGAGATCAAGAGTCACATGCTCCTCCCAACTGAGCCAGCCAGGCCCCCCACCTTTTTCATGATATTAAATGAAGTGATAGCATCTTCCCAGCTCAATCTTTGCCATGATTATTTACTAAGAATAAATTCCTAGAAATGAAATTTGCGTGCTGATCAGAAAGCAGTATTTAAACATTTTAAACTTTATTTTTGAATATATTCATAAGGTTCAAATTTCAAAGGCATTTCCCCACCTCTGTTCTCAAGTCACCCAGCTCCCCGTCAACCGGAGGTCATCGTTATTGCCAAGGTCTTCCGGTCTTCCCAGAGATATTTTGCATGTATATAAATTATACATATGTATATCATATATGTGTATGTATATATATACACACAAGTATAAAATATAGGTGTATTCTGTATAAATATGCATATGTACATATATATACATTTCTCTCTATATATACATATATCTACATATGTATTTTTTTTTCACAAATGGTAGCATTCTCTAGGTACTATTTTGTACTTTGCACTTTTCACCTAACAAATTATCTTGGAGAACTTCCCATGTGAGAACATAAGGAACTTCTTTGGGGCGCCTAGGAGGCTCAGTCAGTTGTGTCTGACTTCCACTCAGGTCGTGATTTCACAGTCCATGGATTGGAGCCCCGCATCAGGCTCTGTGCTGACAGCTCAGAGCCTGGGACCTGCTTTGGATTCTGTGTTTCCCTCTCTCTCTGCCCCTCCCCCAGTCATGCTCTGTCTCTCCCTCCCTCTCAAAACTAAATAAACATCAAGAAGATTTTTTTCTTTTAAAGAGCTTCATCATTTTTTTAGCAGCTGAGTAGTATTTTCAGGGTAGGCATGTACTATATATATTTAAATAGTCCCCTCTTGATGGACATACAGGTTGTGTATTAATCATATATGGCTGTATACCAGATCACCCCAAAACACAGTGACAAAACACAACAATAAAAATTTATTTTCTCTTAGGTTTTCTGTTGATCAGAAATTTGAGAAGGACTGAGCTGGATGGTTCTTGCTTGGGGTCTTTCAGGAGGCCACAGTCTGATGCAGGCTGGGGCTGCAGTCATCTGAAGGAAGGTCCATCTCTGTCTACAGCCACACCACCCTGAGCGCGCCGGATCTCATCTGAAGGAAGGTCCATTTCTATAGTTACTCACTCATGTAACTGACAAAGTGGTGCTGGCTGAAGGCTGGCTGCCTCCGGGCCTCTCTGCATGGACCTTTCTAAGGAGCTGCTTAGAGCGTCCTCATGACATGACAGCTGTCTTTCGCCACGTGAGTGTATCCAAGAGGCCAAGGTGGAAGCTACCATGCCTTTCATAACCCAGCCTTGGAAGTGACACACCTTCACTCCCACTGTATTCTTGTGGTTGTGGCAACTACATAGGTTTGTCTGGGTTCAAGGGGAGGAAGTGGACCCTACCTTTCATTGTATGAGTGCTACCATCACACTGTAAGAAGAGCATGAGAAATGGGACAGATCAGTACTTCCATCTTTAGAAAATATAATCTGCCATACACCATTTCCAGTATTTTGCTATTATGAAAACATGTTAGTGAGTACATTTTAAAGACCTTTGATATGTATTACCATATTCCCTCTAGAAAGTTGTACCAATTTAGTCTCCCACCAGTGGTGTTTGGGAAAGTCCATTTCTCCACAGCCTTACGACTGCATAGTTCATTTTTTAAGAATCTTTGCCAATTTGATATGTAAGAAATGGTATCTCATTGTGGTAAAAAAAATTCCTACCAAGAAGGTGGAAAGCCCAATTGTGAGCATGGCTATTTGTTGGGGCTTCCATAACAAACTACCATGAGCTGGGTTGCTTAAACAACATTGATTTATTTTCTCATAGTTCTGGAGCCTGCGAGTCTGTGATTAAGGTGTCAGCAGGGCTTGATTTCTCTTGAGGTCTCCTTCCTTGACTTGCAGTCACCTTCTCACTATGTCCTCAATGGTCTATTTATTCCCTGTGGGTATCACTCATGATGTCTCTTCCTCTTTTTATAAGTTCTATTGGCTTAGAACTCACTCTTTTGTTATTTTTATTTATTTCTTAGAGAGATGGAGAGAGAGAGCGAGAGCACACAAGTCGGGAGGAGGGCAGAGGAGGCGAAAGAGAGAATCTCAAGCAGGCTCCACACTTGTCGTGGAGCCCGACGTGGGGCTTGATCCCACAACCCTGGGATCATGACCTGAGCCATAATCAGGAGTTGGATGCTCAACTGACTGAGCCACCCAGGAGCCCCTAGGGCTCATTCTTATGACCTCATTTAATTTTAATTACCTCTTTAAAAGCCCTATGTCCAAATATAGTCATATGGGGGAATTAGAGTTTCAGCAGATGAATTTGGCAGTGAGGGGGACACAATTCAGTCCATAATAGTATCCCTACTGACTTGCTGAGTAATCCTGGGGCAGTAATATATCTTTCTGTGCCTCAATCTCCTCACATGTTTAATGAAGATATGCCATATTCCCTCTTCCTCTTCCTCACTGGATTGTCATGACATTAAATTAAATAGTACATGGGAAGACGAATGTAATTATTAACACATAAGATACTTGTAATTCTGGGTCTCACAATTCTGAGTTTGTCTTTGTTGACTCATGTAGTAAATACATAGGGTAAAGGGATGTATAAGCCTACTGTTGCTGTGTAACAAACCATCCCCAAACTAAATGACTTAAAACAACAATCTATTCTTTCTTGCAGGTCTGTGAGTTGACTGGGTGGTCCCTGTTCTGATCTTATTCATGTAGCTGCAGTCTGCTTACTGCTCAGCTCACTTGGTGGTCTAGACCAGCTGGATGCCTAAACCTTTCTCTCCCCTTGGGGTCTTTCACGCTGGTCTTCTTCACATGATAATAGAAACATTCCAAAAGACAGGGGTGGGGCTAATTCCGTTGGGGGCCATCATTGTAACAATTCTCCACAAAGTCCGTATGGTGGGTCAATATACCCCACACATGCCCAGAGACAAGTGAGCCTTGGCCTCACTCTTGGCAACAACCTGGTGCCTGCTGCCTTGGTCCTGACTCCATTCTCAGCCAGTCCTGCTCCAGAGCTCTGCCCGTTGGCCGTGTCTTTGGTTTCGGGCCCTAGTTATGCTCTTTGGGCTTGCTGATGCATCTGAAGACTTTGATTTGGATTATCTTCTAAACTTATGTGTCGGTCGTTTTATTTATCTGTTTTTGAGAGAGAGCGTGTCAACAGGAGAGGAGCAGAGAGAGAGAGAGGGAGACAGAGAATGTCAAGCAGGTTCTGTGCTGTCAGCCCAGAGCCCAATGACAGGCTTAAATCCACGAACAGTGAGATCATGACCTGAGCTGAAAACAGGAGTCAGATGCATAACTGACTAGGCGACCTAGGCACCCCTGGGTTATCTCCCAGCCTTCCTGCTCCTGACCTCGCCCTACTCTGCTTCCTGGAACTCCCAGCCCAGCCCAGCCCCCTCCACTGCACCTTCAGCTGACCTGCTGTCTCCCCTGGGGAAGTTCCCGCCCCACCAGAGGATTGTCTTCACCAACTTCCCTGGAAAACTGCTTAAGGCATTTGAAAGTACAAACGATTTCGTTTCCCTTTTATTCACCACAACTTAATAAGCTCCAATAATTCAGGCCTTTGAGAAATTCCATAATGTATGTTCCACATTTTAGTCACTCTTTGGGAGGGGTCTCTCACATATGTCCTTTAGAACTTGTGAATTATTAACCCTCTTGCACTGCTGGTGGGAATGCAAACTGCTGCGGCCTCTCTGGAAAACAGTGGGGAAGTTCCTCAAAAAACTAAAAATAAAACTCCCCTATGACCCAGCAATAGCACTACTAGGAATTTATCCAAAGGATACAGGAGTGCTGATTCATAGGGGCACATGTACCCCAATGTTCATAGCAGTGCTGTCAACAATAGCCAAAATATGGAAAGAGCCCAAATGTCCATCAACTAACGAATGGATAAAGAAGAAGTGGTTTATATAAACAATGGAATACTACTTGGCAATGAGATAGAATGAAATCCTGCCATTTGCAGCAACGTGGATGGAACTGGAGTATATTATGCTAAGTGAAATAAATCAGTCAGAGAAAGACAGATATCATATGTTTTCACTCCTATGTGGCACTTGAGATACTTAACAGAAGACCATGGGGGGAGAGAAGGGAAAAATAGTTTCAAACAGAGAGGGAAGCAAACCATCAGAGACTCTTAAATACAGAGAAAAAACTGAGGGTGGATGGGGGAGAGCGGGGGAGGGGGAAATGGATGACAGGCATGGAGGAGGGTACTTGTTGGGAAGGGCACTGGGTGTCGTAAGTAAGCGATGAATCCCAGGAATCTACTCCTAAAGCCAAGAGCACACTGTGTACACTGTATGTTAGCTACCTTGACAATAAATTTTATTTGAGAAAAAAGAAAAAGAAATCTCAATTAGGTAAAAAGGCACTGACTCTTATAACTAAACAGCAGTCCAGAGTCTAAGGGGAAAAAAAAAAGTCAGTAGAAAGTCTTGCGCAGCTGATGGATTCTAAGAGACATTCAGTTTTATGTTTCTGTTGTTCTTAAAAATTCCTACAATGCATTTTATTTTGTGCTCTTTAATGTCTCAATAAAGTATAACTGGACTTTAAAAACAAAAAGAACTCATGAATTATTGAGAATATAAATCTATGATATTGTTATTGATAAGGACTACAAAAAGAAAAGATAATACCAATAAGACTAATACACAAACCCAGGATGGTTTGGGTGGGCTGTGAAAAGCTACATGAATCATAATCGAATCGTATTTTTTGATGTAGCAGAAGGACTTGCTGCCTAAGGACCCTCAGAGGGCTGTAAGGCACAGCATAGAATTATTTGGCAACAGGGGTGCCTGGGTAGCTCAGTTGGTTAAGTGTCCGACTTCGGCTCAGGTCATGATCTCATGGTTTGTGGGTTTGAGCCCCGCAACAGGCTCTGTGCTGACAGCTTGGAGCCTGGACCCTGCTTCGAACTGTGTCTCCCTCGCTCTCTGTGTCTCCCCCGCTTGCACACTGTCTCTCTCTCTCACACACAAATAAACATTAAAAAAGTGTTTACAAAAAGAATTATTCGGTAATAAAAATTTGGATTTTATATAAGTTAAGTTTTTGTAAGGGTCAGCTTTTGGTAAAGTTTTAATTTACCAATTGTTAAAATGATTCTAGTGCTTTAAGATGTATTGTTAAGTTAAAAAAACATAAAGAACACAACAATTGGAAAATTGCCTATGACAATTTCATATGACAATTGCATAGTAAAGTACTTTTTGTGTATAAGGGAGAGAGAGAATATATACAATGTAACATAACGTAACATAATAAAACGTAACTGTGTGAGCTTCTGTGTGGGTACACCTGTCTCCTTTCTGACTCAGGGGAAAAAATGGGTGTCTGACAGCAGGATAGAAGGGAGAGTTTTCAACTTAATCCTTTACCCCTTTTGAATTTGGTACCAAAAATAATACCGCGGGAGAAGCCATTGCCCGTGGGCGGGACATGAGAGAGCCCTCCGGGGTGTTGGAAGTGCTCTGGGTCTTGGTCTGAGTGGCAGTTATGTGGGTGAACACAGGTGGAAAGCCAACAACCCACACGCTAAATATCTGTGCGCTTTATTACAAGTTGTATTTCCAAAAAAGTGACGTATTTTCATGAAAAAATTAAATATATTAAAAATAATTTTTAAAAGACAAATAAATTATTTTTTTAAGAGCAGAAGTTTTTGCCTTGTTTCACAAAAGTAGGTGTGTTTCTGGAGAGTTTCCTCATGCCAGTGTCTATAAAACAAAGTACAGTTTCCGACTGGTTTCTACTGTAATGTCTACGATGTGTTCGTAGACTTGATTCCAGTGCTGGTCTTGATCTGGGCATTAGACGCCTGCTGGAGGGAATGCTCTACCCTCCCTGAGACTGTGCTTGATGATAGTGGGAGAAGGGGACAGGCGGTGGGTCTCCCTGAAAAGCTGGGAAAGAGGGGCCCAGCAGAAAACAGAGGAAGAGAAGTCACACTCCCCGAGTACCGCTGAGGCAAGGAACCCTTTTGAGAAGCAAGAGAGAACATGAAAATTGGAAAAGAGAAGCATATGCTAATCGTCCACTTGTGCCCTCCGCCTTTTACCGTCTTTGAAGCCCTTTACACCCACGATATCTTTTGACCCCGAAACAAGCCTATTAATGGACAGTGCACGTGTTGGTCATCCCGTTTTATGAATGAGGAAGGAAGCTGGGACCTACAGACTGAAGTCACAAGGGGGTGACCGAACCAGGACTCAACATCATGTTTTTAAAATTCGAAATCTGATGTGCTTATTGCTGCTTCCCAGAGAGGTCACAGAGCATCTAGAACCCATTCCGCTTCCCCACTGGGGCAAGTTGCTGAATCTTTCTGTGCCTCCTTAGTCTCATCTGTACAATGGGCCTGGTGTGAGGATTAAATGAGCTGGTACATGGGAAAGCATATAGTAAGTGCTCTCTAAACACTAGCTCTTAGGATGCCTGGGT